AAGCTCGAGCAGTCTGCTTATTCCTGAGTGAAGATTTTGGTGGATATACCCCTTTTCATTGGTGTAAAAAATTTTAATCACGTAAAAAACAGCAATAAAACCACAGTGAACCACAACAGCACACAGGCTGCTGTTATCCCCAGCTGGCACTTGAGTCCTTCTCCTTGGTTCGAGAAAAAACATCAGCAACTGAAAAATTCCTCCAAAAAGACATGTTCTGTGGCCTCTGCGAAGGATATATGTCGACTGTAAGAATTTAGTGTTCTTAGCAGCATTTCTCATTCTGCTCAAGTGGACTAAATAGGGGGCTCTGGCAGGATAGGGGATCGTTTGTATAGCAACACATCTTCCCCTAAAACTAACCAGTCTCTTCCCTCCTCAAAAAACCCAGCTGAACAAAAATAACCAAATAACCCTACTCTTTTTCCCCCAAAAGAGCTAACAGAACATCATTTGTATTTCACATGCACACAATGCAGTTTTACATGACCAAATGTCATTTCTTTTAGAGGCCTCATCTCATACAGCGCACAGGATGGCCAGAAACACAAAAAATGCCATTTAAATTTGGAATATATGTGCATGGTATATTAAAAGGTTATTCACTGGTGAGCAGTGAATAAGAAGAGTCTCCTGTAAATCAAACAGTATCCAACTACATAATTACAGACTATCATAATGCCTGAGAACAAAGAACTCAAATTCAAGTGGAGCAGGAGCCAGTTGATGGAAGAACTAAGACACTACTCGTGGATTTCACTGTCTTGGCTCAAGGCTCTGCAAATCCTTTATGGCCTAGAGCGGGCATGCTGCTACTACTGTGCTCCATCTAAGCTTTATGACACCTTGGAGCATGCCAAATTCAGACTAGATACTTAGAGATGACGGAAACAAGACGGTAAACTATATTGCGCATGCACACATACACATTTTGGAAACCTACAGCTTAGCCAACTAGCTAAGTAGTCAGCTTAGCAGTTAGATTTCAACTCTTCTGCTGAACTGCCAACTCTTTCCATAAACCGCAAAGGTGCTAAAGCTCAAAGAAAAACCGGAATGTAATTCTAACATTAGCAAAGCTACCTGTTTTTCTCAGCCCCATTCCTGGAAATATGCTTTGCTGAGATTCGCCAGAAGTTCAGCCTAAGGCAGACAGGAAACTGAGTTTCACAAAATCATACCAACTAAATCATACCAGCTTATAACAGGTTGTATTAGGCAACTGTACCATTACGGGTAGCACAAGAAGTTTCACCTAATGACACATGTTTTATACAGGGCCAAGACCATGAATGGACTGACAGGTAAAAAATATGGAGGGATCTGTATTTTGATCATAGTTTGGGCTTACAACCCTTGCCCTCAGTTGTTCATTGGTCAAATCTCTCCAGGTAATAATACTGACAGTCACTCAACAAGATTTATACTACAATTTTTCATTTAGGACACCATTTTAACAACTCAACAAAATTGTAACTGCAGCTTCCATCCTCTTCTGACCTTATGCTGAGCCATGTAAGAAGGGAACTGAATTCCACAACAGCAGAAATTTTGTCATCCCAGTACATTAACAGACCACCACTGAAAATAAATGAAACGCACTTACCAGAACAGACATCTCTATGACATCTGATGGCTGAAGGTATTCTGGGTCTATTTTGGGCCAGGACTGATGCAGCACATCAGCATCCCAGTTATGATGAGGACAAAGTTTATTCTGCATATGTGCCAAACCTGGAACATGAAACCAGTTAACTGTTCAGCTGTACTGTAACCAGAACGCTCAAATCTTTACAATTTGTTCAATAAATAAGATCAAAATAAAATTTATTTTAAAAGCAAATCCCTTAGGAGGAAATAACATTATTTAGATTAGCATACAGCACATTATAAACAGAAGGATACACATTTTGGAAAATGCTTGTTTTATACTAAGTGTAAGGACTCCCACATGAACTTTGTGGGTACACTTTAGATTAGGATTAGCACTCCAAAACATTGCCAGAAACACAGAAGACCACTGTTTATTGTTTTAAAACGTTATACTGCTACACAAGCTGACCTCTAGTTTTAGAGGTCAATCATAATACTGTATTCACTTCAACAGCGATACCAATTGGATTAAAATTTTACTAACAATTCAGTCAAAATGGGAACATTGGTTTTTAAAACATTACTGCTTATTATTTTACCACCTATAATATGCTGGATAGTTTCTAAATTTGCAAGTCAAGCTACGCACAAGATTTTCTCACGTTTTGTGAAGTACCTATTTTCTCACAAATTAAAGTATGTATAGCATGCACCGCTTGCTCTCTCATACGACATGCGCTTTCTGAAGGGCTTGATCCTTTGATTTTATCTAATAACACTGGTAAAATGGCTATAAATGATCTCCTTGTACTAAATAGACTTTGCCCTCCCTAGAGACAATCAATTCCTAACTCGTTTAAGTAACAGAAGAATAGGATTCAATTCATTCTGTAGCTGAATAAAAACTTCTGAGTGGAACTTATGTTTCTACTTACTCTAACTGTAGGGCAAAATAAAAGATTTCACTTAACAAGAAGATTTCAAATGCGATCAATAATTTAATTGCTACTGTGATTGTTTTTCACCAAGCCAGTGAATTTGCATATTAAAAGTTAGATGCATATGAATAAGAATACAGACTAAAACTTTTTTAAAGCATACGTTTCATTCAGAATTGCAAAACTAACAACTGAAGAGGATCTGAAGATTTATCTCGTTTGGGAAAACTCAAGCAAGAACATAAAGAAAACGCATCAGCACAAGAGTCACTGTTCAGACCGAGGCATCTGAAACCGTTCGCAACACAGCTCAAGGACAGACATATCAGCACAAACGCGCCACGCACGATACATAAATGGATCTATCCAGTCGGATTGCTTACACTAATACTCTGCGTAACAGCAAACAAAGACAGAAAGAGAACGCAACTTCCTCCAAAATGAAATCGGCAAGATGGTTGTCAGGGCTTTTTGAGACAAAGCACTCCTATAAATGACACACGCAGACTTGCTATTTTCTTAATGATTCAGAAGGGGACAGGGTGGTGGACTGGTGGGAGTTATTTCTAACGGCAAGCAAGAACGTGCATGTGTTTCCTAAGAGCGACAACTGAGTTACAGTCTCGTTAGGTAAATAACTGATCGAACACTTCAGTAGATACGGATTCCTTCTGTATTTTTTCTCTTGCAAGAGTAGCTCAGGCACTGAAACAGCAAAAGATAGGAAACTGAGCAGAAAATAATCTTCACATTGGTGATTCATTTTCACGTCGACTTTAAAGAAAACAGCTGCTAAATTCTTCCCTTTTTGGCTTTTGCACATAGAGATGAGCTCACTTCTTTCCAGCTGATCACATGCCTTGTGGCAGAAGCACGCACGCTAGCCGCTCCCCATCTTCCTGTTGAAGGGGATTCTTCAACCTATTTAAAAAACTTTCTGATCTAAGTCAAGAGTTTCTACCTACAAAGGCAAAACTAGGGTCACTTTTAATCCCTGCGAAGGCTGTCAACCCTAATACACCGTCCAATAAAACATATGCAAACACATCCTGAAGCAGATAAAGCGTGACTACAGTACAACGTCAATCTTTTTTAGTTCATTTTCTTGCTACGAAACGAGCCATGAGCTCATCCACATTGAAAAAAAGTGCAAAAGTCAACAGAGCTAGTTTCAGAAAATACAGTTTGACAGGAAACCAAAATGAAGGTTTTACTTATGTTGCCTGACTGGTTTCCTGTCTTAATTAACATTTTGAGAGCTCTGAAACGCAGAAAACGCAACCATGATTTGTTTCACATTTCCCAAATAAAACAGGCAAGACCAGACACTTCACTGTCGTTAGCTGCAACTGCTTCAGCGCTTGAAAGGATCTAGACAGAACCCGCGCCCAGCCTTCCCACTTGAATCTGACACGCTGCACAAAAGCCCTGCTCGACAAGTGAAGAACCAATCACCTCACAGACCTTTCCTGTGAAAACATTAACATCCTATTTCACTATCCATCTTACCGTACTGGAGAACACCTAGTGAAGTGGGCATTATGAAGCAGGAGGTATTTGGCTTTGTATTTTTTTCACGTGTTTGGCTTTTATGGCTCTACATTGTCTTGCAGAGCCGGGACAGGGAGCCCATCGAGTGCATCTCTGCTCATTTTACCACAGAACTTATGTGCACAGTAAGCTCTAGGGACAGACCAAGGATAACTCTTGCACTCAATGGGAAGCCCTGATGCTGCAACTGGAGCTGCTCGAATGGACTTTTACTGACCACTGAGCCAATACAGAAACAGTTTCCCTAACCAGTAACTCACAGGATCAGAGCCTAAGCTGAAACACAGTGCTATATTATACTACTGTAAATGAGTTGCGGTGGAGGGACAGGAGACAAGTATAACAACGTTTAAGCTCATGGCAATGTTTTATTAGTATTACTCGACTCATGAATGTTACATAAAAATAGTACTTCCCCAAGACGCCATTTTAAGGGAAGAGCAGATTGTCATTTTAAAGAGAGATTTAAGGAGGAAGATTTGGAGGCAAATCCTGTATCAAGACAGCAAGGCAATTCCAGTCTTATGGACAGAGGCATCAGAAAAATTTATCTGTGAAATTCTAGCAACGGTACAGCTAGTCTGATGCCACCCTATGCAGGGCAACAGCCAAGGATGTGTTTACAGTGTGAAGTGAGGAACGGCTGGCATGGTGAGGGACAAGGGCCAGCACAGAGAAGTTAACTGAGCAGAGGATGACAGGAGGGAGGAAGTCTTAAGGTGAAATAAAAGGAAATTAATGAAGGCATCTGAAGCAAAGCCCATGCAAGAGCTTAAGACTAGAGCTTTTCTAACAAGAGCTATAAGAAGATCAGAGAGGAGCAGTACAAGGAGACTATGAGGGTGCATTGTCAAAATGTTGATTACCCTTGGATTTAGCAAAATCAAAATAGAGATCTGAGTTAAGTAAAAATCCATTATACTAGAAGACATGCAGGTAGAGCTTTCAAACTCAGAGTAGGTATTTCTAACCGTTAGCGGAGTTGCATTCTGGATCAGTATCTTATTGGCTTGGCAGCTTTTTCCAAGTACAGGATTGTTATCCTGTTACTTTGTTCTTGATAGACTTTTTTGCTACTTTATTTAATGGATCTTTTCACTGGACGGATTCAGGCAAGTGGAATATCAGAAACACCTTTTTGCAGTCCAGGAGAAATGTGTTGGTCAATTATATGTGCAACAGCCTGCAATATCAAAGAAACTGCAGCAATATAACCCTAGCTATATCCAAACAGCTATGAGAAAAGCTATGTGCTGCTACTGGCAGCAAGCAAGTGGGTCAAGAAGGCGTTAATTTACATTTACTGAATACAACGCTAGGAGATTCGTTTTATACGTTCCTTAGTGACAGATCTGGAACATCAGAGGGCTTCTGAAAAGCCCGGGTTATTAGAGCTAACTCTAGAATGTGTTTGCAGTTTAGCAAAATCCATGTGAATCAGGAATTCCTTTCAGCCTTCAGAAATTGATCTGCCTTCCTCCATTCCTATACATTGATTATCCTTCATCTTAGATTATTTTCTTGGAGGAAAAAACAAGTTTTCATTCTGAATCAGGCTTCTTGTATTTGCACAGGACTTCTGAATTCAGATTTTCCATGAAGATCTGTAATGTTAACTAGCTTCCATTCAGCTCTGCTCTTCCAAAAAGCCTTCTCGAGCAAAGACTGCATTCAAACAAAGGCATTCTTGCAATAGAGCTATTGTAATGACAGTTAAAATGTTGTTAAGAGAATCATACCATTACAAATACCAACAATTATATTTCATTTAAATACATCTTTAAAATGTGTTTATCATCAGTACATATCTTTCATGTGCCTTCTCTAATAAACATTTAACATCTCACAATAAGCAGTTTCGTATCCTTGTCTGGACAGCACAATACTGTACTACTCAAACAAACAAACCAAAAAAAGTCCCAAATGGTGTCTGTATATTCCTCAGATACAAGGTTTCAGGAAGGAAACAGATTTCCTCATCCTGTTTCTGTTCACAAACTGCCAAGACATCAGCCAATGAACTCTCCCCACACTGAGGGGCTACAGTAGCTTTTTATGCCATGAAGCTATAAACGAGTGAATATACTGCATAACTAAGACCATTAGGTCCATGCACCAAAATACTGAAAAGCATTCCTCCTCTAAGCAGCAGAAAGAACCACTTCACACACAAAATATCAAAGCGCTCAGCTACTATTGTTCAGCTGCTGAAAGGTGAGGCGCTTATGAAACAGCATTCAAGCAGCCTTCCTCTTCACTCAAACTGGAAATATTTCCTGCTGGTACTTAAGTACGCTCTTCAACCAGCACAGAAAAAGACCAAGTTCTTCATTTCTACCTGGTGCATGAAAACAAGATGGTCACATATAAACTGAATCCCATGGGATAATAATTTTTCAGCTGCAGAAGAGCAAAAATTGCTGTATCTTGAGTCAACCTAATTTTACGTTACACCTTACGCTATATTTAAAATCTAAACGTTACATCAGAAGCATCCTTGAGATATCAAACTGAAGTTCTGAGTTTGCAGATCAGTGTTCCTACTCAACTCTAAAATTATCTGCCTGATAGTTAACTATTAGGGCTTCCATATTTACTACCTTCCATTTTCCCTGTATAGATAAAAATGTTCCCTATTTTCATCACTAAAAACAAACAGAAAATAAAAGCTGTGTACAAGATATTTTAGAATGAAATGTCAATATTTAATTATAAATATGTTGCTTATGTGTTGTTTCTTATTTGCGTTACAACAGCAGACAAAAGCTTCCATCAAAGCTTTGCGGTCTGCTGCTGTGAGTGCTATTTATAGAGTCAATAATATATAAAGTCCTCTTCCTGAACAGTTTACACGACAGGAAGCAGCACTATCCCTCCTTTTCAGATGTAAAGCCAAGGAACAAAGACAGAGATTATTCTGGCAATGTATGGAGAACAGAAGCACCAAGAAAGATTAAATGCAGAATTTAGCTTATTTTTTTAAAGTTACAGTTTAAAAATACTTAAAATAAGAAAAGATTATTACCCACACATAATAAAATGTAAGAAATTGGCTATATCAGATGATCAACAACACTCAGTGGAACCAGAATGCAAATTCAGAAACCTTGATCATAAAAAACATTAACTCGGGGAAGCTGCCTCTAGCATATAGTCGGACATTTTTCCCCAGAAGTCCTAATCCCAGGACAGAAGCGTTAAATGTTGGCGCCTTCTAAATAAAATACTCTTCTTACCACAAAGCAGTAGTTAAATGTACATACGTTCTCCTGAAAAAATAGTTTAATAACGTTAATGAATTGTAACGATGATTGTGTTAACAGAGAATGTGTTTTTCACATTCTGTCATAAAATTCTCTGGTCAATAATCACCACAAAATGTTTTAGTATACTAGCTGCACTGAATGTCAACGTGCAGTCTTCAGATCACACAAACAAAATTGTATCTTCAGACGTGGCCAGCGGTAGAGGATAGTACAATCCCAATTTTTATTATGCTTCCTTTTAATTCTTACATCAGAGAGAGATCCAGAAAATGCTTAGCATTCTCATTCTCCAGTGATGTTAGTAAAACGGGAAGACATTCAGAATGGTACACGATTAAGCTTTATGTTTGACAAACTATGTTAATTCAGATATCCTAGCGAGCATTGTAATTTTATCAAACATACTTGATAATTCTGTATTCCCTAATACATATTTGAATTTCACAGTTCACAAGGCACTGTGTAAGTAATTAGCCCTGACGACCCCTGCCTCCATCTCAACCAAAGCAGAAGACAAATTGTGGCAATTACTTCCGTTTAAGTATAATTTTAATTACATGATACTTCATATTGTAACAGAATATTGACTGAAGTCAGCATTCTCCAAATGGATCATGTCTGATGCCATGCTTTATTTTAAATAATTAAGCTTTCATTAAAGCATCTCAATATACGGTTAATAAAAACACAGAAAAAAAATACTTCCCTAATACGTACAGAAATATCTTGCTGTTTCCAGAGATTGTGCCCCTATGTTATTGCCATGATCAAGAGCAACCTAGATTTGGCAGTTGGTAATATTATACTATCATGTACAGCTCTGAAATCTAAGCCATTTACTAGCCCTGCTCCGTCAAAACTTGAAAGCACAAAGATCTAGGACGATGATCCTGAGAAATAAAACTTTTAAAATGGCATGCAAAAGCTAACATTAGGTCCAAAACCACACAGTTAACTTGTGACCCGTCTTAGCATAGAATATACTCCTATCCTCCCACATACGTCTTGGGACTTCTTCCAACAAAACTATAAAGTAACTGCTGAACTGCGGCATGTACCTCCTCTATTTCACAGGTTGTAACTGCAGCAGCGCCACACAACTTAGCCCACATGGGATTCAGACCTCAAGGTTTACAGCTGTGACAGATCTTAAAAAAAGATTTCCTGTCTGCTGTTCCCACTCTCCCCTGAGAGGTTAATTCACAACATACTGTCCCTCGGCCTCTGGAGAATATTACCAGAATAGTATTTGCATTTAACACTCTTTTATTCTTTTTAGTACACAGTCTGTGACATGGTCCTCTTAGCCTGAATTCCTGAAAGAAAGTACTTTTAGTCCGAAGACTCTAAAACAGTTCTCTTTAAAAAGCCCGAAACCTCCTTCCATATGAAAGGACAGCTAGCCACAGGCATATACATTCCTTCCTCATGCAGGTCCTCTCTTGACTTTTTCTTCCTTCTCCCTTCCTCTGCCTACTCTCAAAAAACCTCCACTTTTGGATGCGAAGAGAAAGAAACTAAAAGCAGAGAGATGTGGTAAGACCACAAGTTTCAATTTTTTTTTTTTTTTTTTTTTTTAGGAATTATGAGTAGATGACGGGCATTAAGACATTACAAAATCTCTGTCTTTGAAAGAAGGTGACAAGACAGATGTAGAGCTGAGGTAGAAGTGACATGTATTATTTTAAAGATATTTTTGCAAACTTGCCGTCTTTTTTCCCCCTGCAACATAGATAAAAAGTGTATTTATATAAATACCTTTCCACATCTCTGATGCAACATGTGGAGCCATAGGTGCAACCATAATGCAGAGCGTAGCCAAAGCATCTTCAAATTCTGCACTATGGAGAATAAGAGGTTGAGAAGCTTGCTAAGGAAAAAAGCAGAAGGAAAAGAAAACGAAATGTAAATGTATATATTCCTGTGGGGAGAGAGAAGTAGGTTAGTTAAGAAGGAAACGTAGTAAAAACAAAAATCAATGTCTACGTTCAGAATAGTATAATTTCACAATATTGACCAAATCTGAATCTTAATTCCTTTATTCATTGTATCATAATAGAAAAGATGCAGCACTAAAAGCAGCTGAAAAAGTTTTTTCTTTCTTTGCCTCTGTTTTGACCCTGAGAGATCACACCCCATGATAAGGGCAGTTCAGATTCTGTGTTTATTTTGTCATTTGCTTCTCTAATGAGACAGAACGTCAATACATGTCAGGTAAGGAGAATTATTTGGTGGGTGTGATGGACACCAGCTCCTGTCTACTAGAAAGTTGTCTAAAACCAGTGATTTGTTTGACGCAGACTACAGAAGAGCTATCAGATGGCGACTTGTCGTTGATACTAATGAGGTCAGTGCAAACTAGATTTGAGTAAGTTTTACTAACTGCTACCTGTCTTCTATTTTTAAACGTCATCCACCTCCCCACTTCCTCCTTTCAAATGGGCCTGAAAGAGGAAGTATCAACATGTTATAAGGAAGGAAATTTGTTCTTGAAATATGAGGAGATAGTACAGTGTTCAAACATTTGGCTGTCTGTATGACACTGATCTTTTAATGTTCACTCATCACCATCTACCAGCCCCAAATGCATATGAATCATTGAGCTGGAGATAAAAAGAAATCTGTGTCACCTTCCCAATAGCACACAGTGCCCTAGACTTACAATTACAGCACTTGTGCCTGTCCTACTTTATTTTTTGTTAAGTTCCTTGAATTTGTCAATATCTCCTTGGAGTCTACAGGGTGTAAGATGCTATTTCAAGACAAAGTTGGAAAATCCTAATTTGTAATTTGATTTCTGGTCTAGATCGTATTACATTCATATATCTGAAGGAGTGCTCAATTAGATCTAAAAGCAGTAATAAAATACAAGATAACAGTTTATTATATTTGATCTATCACCTCTGGCTGATAAACAACATAATAGCCCAAATTAAAAATACTAAAAGCTGAAGTTATTTTTACGTTTGTTTTAAAAGGGGAGTTTGCAAGCTCTATTACTAGCAGATAGTTTAGAGGTGAAAGCCTTCTTCTTCGAAGAATGTAAGATTACGTGTGATTTTCCATGCAAAGAATAACCTTTTTAATCAATATGTTTAGTAAATCTATAACGCACTACTATATGTAACTACTTACGCAACTTGTTTATGGACAAAAGTGTACAAAGAACAGAACAAAGCAAAATATATCCTTTTGAAATTTCAGGATGCAGATGTAAACACCAGAATCTAGTGGCTCTAATACTTCCATGCTCTTCCTGGAAAACACAGTCTGTGCAGGGGTTACAGTGATACTAGAATGTACTTCTTTTGAAATGAGTGATGCAACCTAAGTGCATGAGGCTCCAAAGTCAGTAACAAGGGTAATGACAGTAAATAACTCTTGGTATGGTAAGCTCAGTTCAAGCAGCTCTCGCTTTGTGTACAGACATATATATGAACAGGGATTGAAAGACACAGACCGTCATTCATATTGCATACTTACATAGAGTATGTTACTGAGGCTCATCAGTCGAGAAATAGCTGCATTAAACAGATGATCCTTTGCGAAATATTCTGTTACCTGGTTGTATTAAAGAAAAAGAAAAGTTCTGTCACGACTTACTTAAAATTCTCACACATGGAAATATTGGGGTTTTAAATGAAAAATCATGTTGGCTAATCAATTCCAAATTGTGAAATATGCCTATCTTAACTCTCCCGTGGAAATCACTTCAACAGCATGTCATCTATCATATCATATCATATATACACCCACCTGTGTGTGTGAAAATAAGAATCATGTAAAAAATTCAGTTGACCAGCTTTCTGTTTCAAAATGTTAAAAGCTTCAATCAATGCCAATTAGAATTGTGTATTAGGAAACACCCTCTGTGTCCTTCAGTAAGATATCTTCCCTTTGTCCCCAAAAATAGTGTTCATACTTGTAAATCCAGTAGTGCCAGTGAAAGCTCTTTCTTACATAGCAAGATCACAATTCAAAAGTCCATTAAAAAATTTGGAAGGTTCCTGGCCACAGAATTTAAATCAGGATAAGGTTTTATGTGCAGGAAAAAAATTGAAGTTCATGTTACAGGTATTTATGTCTCCTTCTGAGTCTTGCATAATTGAACTGACACTAATCACAGCGTGAGAATTAACACAACAGACGAACGCTTAATTCAATAATAAAATTTTTTAGGATGTGCTAATGTACTTCTCCAACATTTTTTTTTCACTCTGCATGAAACACACAGCATATCGGATAACGAGGTGTGAAACAAGCAGATTTAAACAAGCAGATATAAAAGGGATGATGCGCATAACTCACCTATAGCTTTATCACTGGAAAATGGAGTTATTTCAAACTCAGACTGAAATCCAGGCATTTTAATGCCATAACACTTCATCCTTTACACGAGGCACACAGCAGAGAAACTTTGCCTATCCAAACCTTACTACTTTGCAGAAGAGCTGTGTCCCATGGAATTTGCAGGCAAATAAAATTACTTATACAGAGACTATTTTAAAGAATATTTTATAAGCTACTCATCTGGGAGAAATGTTTTGCTCCAACAACGCTGTAAGTCAAATGTACAGTTTTAACAACAGCAGCAACTTATTTAGCCATTCGCAAAGTACATAAGTGTTTTCTTTTCACCTCAGAAATCACCAGATTCTTCTGCTCCCAGATCTTTCTGGCTTCAGCCTTCTGTTTCTTACTCAGAAGTTCAGGATTGGGCATGGTTCCCGACGTCCTCGCTTCAATAAGTTTGGTTACTAGGGTCCACAGGCGTGTCTGCCATCTCTGAACACCTGGCATAGCATCAGCTGAATTTAATGAAGAATTGCAAAAACAAACCGATTTCAGTTACAACGAACCAAGCCAAACCTTTAAAGAGAAGCAGAAGGGAAACTGTACCCTGGAGTTTAACATTAAAAAAAACCTATATTGTGCATCAAAAATGTCAATGCAATTACAAATACATTTAAAAATAACGCTGGGTTGCTTTAATGGAAAGAAAGAATTATATAAAACAAAAGTATTTTCTGCAATGACTTCAGAACAGGTATATATCAAAACCATTTGCTAAATCTATAAAATAAGCTAATGTTATGTCAATGTTAGAATATTCATCTTGTGTTTTAATGACTCTAGAAAACAATCCTTTTATATGCTTTCATTTTCCAAACTCATGGAAGAATACATACTCTCTCTCTCTCTATGCACATACATATGTATATACATATATGGATATGGGCACGCACACACATATGCATATATACATACACACATACTCTTCAAGTGGAAAGGTTTCTTCTAAACTTTGCTTTTAAAAACTACATATCCTTTTGTTGCTACAGAGGTGTACCGTGCTAACGACTATAGGCCCTGACCCTTGGGACCATCTTTCTGACCCCGCTTAGCTTGGAACTGAGAGATTACGTCCACGCTGGTCCTACAGGCATCAGTCCTGCTACACGGCTGCTCTAAGAATGTGTTTACGTGACCTCGGGACGGTGGTGGAGAGAGGCCCAAGCTAGCGCTGCTCATGGCCAGTTCCTCCACGTGATGTGGTGCAAAGCTACTTGTGAAGGCATGGCTTGGGGTGGGGCACTGGCATGGCTTTACTGCTTTCCGTTCCAGATGTGTGGGGTTTCTACTAGCCTGCACACCACTACCTCACGCTGCACTGCACACTGTCAACATCTCCTAAAATATTCCAACTGGCAAGAGCCTCCTGTTAGAGAAGGGAACTGTGGCCAACATAGCTGCAGCTTAGCGTAAGCCTGACTCTTGCCTAGCATAAGTGCCTAAAGTAGGTGAGGCCTGCAGGCCACGGGACTGAACTGTAACCCGAAGAACATTGCTGATGACGTGACTGCAAAATCAGCTAGAACCAGCCCTCAAGGATACAGAGCACAGTGACCAGAACGAAGAGAAGTAACGGCTGACCTTCGGATAAGATAAGGTACTGTGGAGCAGGAACAGAGCAAATGTCTAGCAACCGTCTAGCAACCGGCCTGGGATGTAGATGCGAACCAGGGAGAGGGAAAGGGAAAGAGACCACTGATTCAGTAAAGACGACTGGAAGAGACTTTCATTGGCAGGCGGGGAAATAAGACTGTAAAAAGTGTAATTACTTAAGAATTCTTTTGTTCTGGGTCCCTCCCCAGAGGCACCTAGCTCAAGCTGTTGCTTTGTCCTATCGTCATTTGAATAAATAATTAATTTAGCTGTTGTATGTGCGTGAGACTCTGCTCCTCGGAAACCTAGGGTCGAATTGTTTCCACAACACTCCAGTTCTGCTCCAGCAGGTATGCCTGAGAAGATGATCAGGCTTACTACTAAAACTGGGAAAAGTAAAAAACACATGAGTGATTGTAACCTACAGAGATCACCCGTCTGACTGCACTAGATGAAAGACTTCCACGTGTCTGGAACAGCAAAACACGATCTCACTGATGATGTCTACGTGACCCTCATGAACTCTCTTGGGAGTGACTGGCAGTACGATGCACTCCCCAAACTTTCCACCTCCTGTTCACATCAAGAGCTCGTAGATCATTTAGACACGTTGGGCACCACGTAGGTTGGGCATTATTTGGACTATAGCAATGGTGTAGTAAGCTGCTGGGTAAGCTTGGCCACATCTGGTCCTGCACGCTCTGGAAGACTGCTTGCCTGCACCAGGGGAGAGGGGAGGGAATGGTGTGGGACTCTGCTTTCATGCCCACTGTTGAAAAGACAGTGAACCTAGTCTGAACAGCAATCCTCAAAACACTGTCTAAACACACCCAGAGAGGAAAAGGATTACGGTAACTGCGTACCAGTATATAATATTCTCTCATTAAGACAATTTCCTATTTAGTTATTTGATTTCTTCAATTTAAATGTTCATTATTCTGTTACCATAAAAAAATACAGGCCAGAGTTTAAAGCAGATTTATGGAATCCTTCTCATATGCTTTCCTCTCCGTTTTTTTCCCTGGAAATATCTTCAGGCTGCTAACATCTTATTATGTTCAAGTTTTCCAATACTCTTTTATCAAGATGTGACCCAGCGAAATCTTTCTTTCTATTTCTCAGTTGGTAAACAGCCTGGTTTGAAGGACTAATTGTATTTTTCGTAGCCCTACACCTATCTGTGCTTAGCTTTCTTACAGAATGTTTCAGTATAACCACCCAGCTCTAGCAATATTTTACAAGTAACATTTTGTACTCCTGGCTCTCACACTAATTTCATTATTCCGTTTTCAAGATGGAAAAATACAGTAAAAAGATTGTGGATTACTGAATTACCGACTTCAAGTGGGAATTGTGCACCTGAGTATCTTTAGCGATCCAGGAGTTACAGCCTGATTCCAAGCTTAACAAAAAAGCAGTAATTTGGAAATGAACGCACATGCACATGTAAAGGGTGACAGAAGTCAGCTGAAATAATGCTTAGTACAGACTGAACAAAGCAGCAAAAAGACAAAAGAAAGAAGAAATGCATGTATTTTAAACCAGGTATGAAGTGCTTTATTACAGCCCCCTAGGCAACAAGACAGTTGCACTGAAATGTATGCACCAAGTCCACATTAAAATGATAATAAATAGAAATTAAGATCTATTAGTATGACAAACTGCATGATGGCAGTAAATAAGTGTGTACAAGGGTAAAACTTCTAAATAATATCTTGTCCAAAGGCAGAACTAAATTCATAAAAGTATGTCATGTGCGTACATCTATTAGCTACTGAGAATTCTGATTATCTTTTTATGTGATTCTTTCAACTCATATTTCTTAGTCCATCTTATAAAAGCCACTGCATGCACATGTAGATAAAAGAAAATAGTTTAAAATTGCAAAGTTTTATCTGGAATATAACACGATGAAAACAAAGCATCTTAAAACGGAGAAAACAATCTTAAAATAATCATTTTCAATCCGTCAATTATAGTCAATCAGAAAATAAGAAAACAAGACCCAGCCTTTGCATTCTCTCATTATTTCAGAAGAAAATACTGATGGAAAAGAAGTGCTTTTCATACAGCTAGTTTTAGCTTGAAAGAGGCATTGTACCATGCGGTTGATTGCAGTGATCTTGCAAGCCTCCCTTCTTCCTGACAGTTTTGTTACCCTCTCTTTTAGAAGAAACAAACACTAAAACCTTCTTATTATACCAGCTTTTTGATTCAACTGTACCAAAACTTAGGCAACAAGATTTGTATACATCTCCTGGGCCTTGTGTGCATGTGTGTGTGTTTTTTAAAAATACACTAGAAAAAAAGCAACGGAAAGAATCTGACTTACTTTTAGCATCCCACAAAATATCTTGTTCTGGAGGAGCTGCAAACAGAATGTAAAGACGTATGGTGTCAATGCCGTACTCTTTCTTTAATTCTTCAGGGTCTATTCCATTGTGCTTAGATTTGCTCATTTTTTCCCAAGTGACTTGGATCTTCTCACCAGTTTTTAGGTGAACTGGTTCAGTCCCTAAATAGTAACACATACAAAAATATTAAAGCAAATTCTGTTCTTTTGTAACAGTAATGGATTTTGTTCTCTAAACGTATTAAGGGACAAGAAATTCTATTCTAGGGGGTAGAAGGAGGGTTTCCAAACAGTTTAAAGAGAAAAAAAAAACAGTATAAAACTTAAAACCCTTTCCCTCCCAAAATGTTCCTGCTTACATATTTTACCATAAATGGCATCCTAGCTTTATAGGTTTTAATTTTGGTACGTTATCCTGATAAGAAACTGCCTTATGTTACACGAATTTAGGAATAGGGAGGGGAATTTGCACTGATACACGTACACCCAGGCAAAATCACCTGCTACAGACAAGCCCTAGCTTCTCCAGAAGAAGACAGGATCACAGGCAG